TTTGCAGTGGGGTTACAGGGAGTCTAACATTTACTGAGGCTGGGATGCTCTGGGATGTACATATCTCCACACTAAAGGCAATGATGGCAACCAGAAGAGCCACAGGGGTGTTCAAACAGACACCCAATGAGGAGTGAATCCCAAAGAGGGAAATGATGCTTTGGACAAGAATCTTTTAGGGCAGGAGTTGATTCCTGTATGCTTTGACTGTGCAGTGATGCCTGATTGTGTATTGTGACCCGTGGGTGAGAAGATGCCTCGATGAATCACCTGAGTGGGGAGAGCCTAATTCAAGATGAGTTTTGAAGTGTCTGGACTGAGAGGCTCAGCACCAAATGCTGCAGTTTCCTGATGGCTGGTCTGGTCTCAGTTCTTGTTCAAACTAGTTTTCTTGATTGCTTTGCAGTGGGTTTTTCCACTCGTAGCGTGCAAAAAGCTTGAAGGCTGCAAAGGCTGCATGAAGTCATAGGATCATTTGTGTTGAAAGGGACTCTTAAAGGTCATCTAGTCCAACTCCTCTGCAGTGAACAGGAGCACCTACAGCTCAGTCAGTTTACTCAGAGCTCCATCCAGCTTGATCTTGAATGTCCCCAGGAATTGGACATCTACCATCTTTTTGGGCAACCTGTTCCTTTCGTCGCCCTGTTGTAGGAAAAACATCTTCCTTATATCCAATCTAAATCTCCTGTGTTAGTTTGAAACCATTTCTTCTTGTCCTATCACAATAGACTCTGCTGAAGAGTCTAAAATGACACATGATGGTGGTTAGCTTTGAGAGATCATTCACTAGCAGTTATTTTTGGATCTCCCCCATATTCCACTTCAGTCAACTCAAATGGGGAAAGAGATGCAGATTCCTTACATCCTGATGTATCTAGGGGTGAAGCCAGTGTTACTGAACATTGGAGGAGGCAGGAGCCAGATCCATGGGAAAACAGTGGTATTTGTACTTTTCTACCTTTCAGGCCTCCACAGTACGCTGACATAATTGATGCACATAAATTATCCAGATAGGGAATTTCAAGGATATAGGGTTGTTGGTTGTTGTTTATTTTTATTTTTTTTTTGCATCCTCTGTTCTGATAGCTTGCCTTTTTAGTATGTCAGTCCCTATTAATTAACCTTGTTTTGAAGGAAGTTCAGTTTCTAAGGAGTCACTCCAACAGATGATCCTGGGGTGCTGGATTTGTGTGTGCATGGGGTCCCTCTCCCTGCAGGAGCTTATTCCAAAGGAAAGAAAAAGGAGGAGGAGTGTACAGGAGATGAGAACTGTAGAATGATGTGACAAAGCCAACGCAGGCAGTTACTCAAAGAGCCAATATTGATAGAGATGACAAGGCAGCATGTTTGAGATAATGATGCAGCTAAGACTGACAGCTGTGGGAAGAAGCAAATAAAAGAAGTTCCCTTTTTATATTGGCTGCCTTTTTCCGCCTGTGAATTAGAAGTCTGGATGTGAATTAAGTACCAGGGGAATGGGAGCTGCGTGGGGAAAGCATCAGACCGGTTTGAACCACCAAATGAATAAGGGATCTCAAAGCAGGGGATTTTTTCTTCCTTCTTTCAGTTGCATTTCATAATCAGTTTCTTTTTGCTGCTGCTCCATTGTAGTGTCACCTTCAGTGGTTTTTGCTGCTTTTTCCCATTCCCTAGTTGACAAGCTGGCCACGTGGCTCGTGGTCCTTAATTTGAGATGCACAGACATACAGAAATGAGGGAATTGCACTGTATGTTGCTTGTTTAGTGTTGTTGATGCAGGCCAGTTAGCATGCTGCTGTTAACAGTATGGCTGGAGACTTTGTTTGAGGTGTTAATTAGCAGCAATTAGTAGGGTATTAGTTTCTCCCTTCTTATGTCAGCTTTCTTTGCTAGTTAGTTGTATCAACAGGAGGCTCAGTTATCTGGAAGCTTATGTTTGCATAGGAGTTTTGTCAACTTGTTGCGTTGTGTTGGGTAGATACATAAATGCTTTCCTACCATAAATTGTGAAGTAGATATTCCGAATATAAGAAGACATGTAGCTCAAAACAGAGTTGTCCATAGCTGAAACAGCAAACCTGAGATCATAGAATCACTGAAGTTGGAAAAGGTCTACGAAATCATCCAGTCCAACCATTCACCTATCGCCAGTAGCTCTCACTAAATCATATCCCAGCACAGCATCTAGACGTTCCCTGAACACCTCCAGGGTCGGTGACTCCACCACCTCCCTGGGCAGCCCATTCCAGCTCCTGATCACTCTTTTGGAAAAGTAGTATTTCCTAACATCCAGCCTCAATCTCCCCTGGGACAACCTGAGGCCGTTCCCTCTTGTCCAGTCGCTAGTTACATGAGAGCAGAGGCTGACCCCCAGCTCACTGCAGCCTGCAGGAGGTGCGTTTCTCCCTTTCAGTCTAGGTGGACTTGATCTCAGTCCCAGATGTGGCTGTTGGCAGGTTCATGCTGATTTTCTCATCTATTTCCCATTTCTGACAGGCAATTCCCAGTCTCAGGGGAATGGGCCCTTCTTGTGGATCTGGTGGCAGATCTGGGGTTTAGCTGTGTAAAAAATGGCATTGTTTGAATGGACATCTTCAGCTTCCTATCAGTTTGTGACTTTACCCAGTCAGCATCGTGGGAACATTACAGAGTTTAACTAAGATACTAAGTAGCTTATCTTTCCTCTCAGTGTTTGTATTGTTGCCCCTGAGTTTTGTTTAAAATGATAAATTGTTGTGCTTAAATTGATTTCTCTCTGTTCTTTAAAATTCTTTTTCAGTAGATCCAGATTATCATTCATTGCTGTTTGATCTTAGACAGAAATGAAAACAGCTAAATCTACCCAAAACTTAGCTTCAGCTGACACTTCCGCTTCTCTCACATTGAAGAAGCTTGACGTAAAATTCTGATGCTTAGCCAATTAATTATTAATGGTGTTTATTGAAGTATTCTCTACTGAAAGATAAGTGTGTTTTTGACTTACAATAGACCGATTGCTTCTAGTTTCATAGTTAATTGAAAGTTAATATACACTGAGGATGAGTGATACATATGTTATTAGGTTATCTGCACTTTAAGTACTCATAGTATATAATGTACTTAATTCATTAGCAAGTCTTGCATCAACGAAGAATAAAGATGAAGTGGTTAGTGTCCATTGCAGTGAGGAAGTGATCAGTATTATTTATTGTGTGTTCCAAGAATACTGAGCACTTTGCAAATATACTGCACTGAATCAATTTACAATCTCCTCTTCGGGGGGGAAAAAAAAAAAAAAAAAAAAGTAGGTATATATTTACTTTGTTAAAAGGTTCTTTAGGAGTGAGGAACACAAACCACTGGTGGAGGTCTAACTTTGCTCAAACCATCTTCTGCTGAGTGCTGTACCACCTTTGCTTCTACCAGCGATGCTTCGTGAAGCGTGCATGGTTTTAGCACAGCTTAATTGCCAGCACAACAGTGCTGTTGTGATTGCTCTGGCATACAGTCCTATCATGACTCAGTGAATGAAAATCACCCTTACACGTTATGTGGTCTTTATCTTTTTCAGTTCCTTCTGTACCTTCTCATGTGTCTGTTTTTCCCTCGAGTTTCGTTGGAACAACCTTAAAAACTGAGGATGAAAAATCTATGACAAAGCACTCTCCCTCTTTCTATTTTATGACCACCGTATTTGGTCTTCCTGAATATCTTCCTGAGTAGTAAAAGTTGAAAAAAAATCCCATAATATTTTTACACTCTTATTACCTCCTGCTTTGCATGGACTCTGGCAGTAAGAGTATTATTATTTCCTACTTTTAGTCATGCTTCTTGCAGAGCATTTGGTGTTGGTGCTGCCAGCAGAGTCCTCTCTGTCATCTGAGTCTTGGAGGCATCCACTAATAAGCAGGACCAGTCCTCTGTATCCTATGTTCTGGACACACGCCTTCCTCACCATCTGTCTTCACTGCAGCATCTCTGGTATGACTAGCTGGTTCCCTCTGCGCCTGTAAGCCGAGCTCTTAGTTTCTCTTTTCCAGTCCTCCCTTGACACCTTGTAATTCATCGTCACCACGAGTTTTACTGAAAAGTTCACTTTTTTTTAAATCTACTTTTAAATGTGTATCTCTGGGTATTGCTTGTCCGATGGCTTACTCTGGCTGGAGATACAGTTCTCGATCTCATGTCTGATTCAAGATCTAGTCAGTGTTGTGTTCCCTTTCTCACGCATTTTGTGGTTTTATTATGCTGCTTTTGAAACAGTTTTAAAGCAGAAGAATCTCCTCTGCCATCACAACCCGATCTACACCTGACTTAATGTTTTCTACTCTAGGTGGCACTAAATGGTGCAGTTACCTTAAATTTGCCTTCAGAAAGCAGTTGAAGCACTATTTTATTTCACTATCTACTTTATAAATGCTTAACTTCATTTTCTAGAGGTTCTTCCAGTCTCTCCCAAGTATTCTCCTTTAGAAACCTGGAAAATATTTCTGAAATGAGGTATTTCCATTGCTAACACTGTGTGAGTTATGTTGGAAGTCAAAGACTGGACTTGGAAGGTGACTGAGTTGGCCTTTCTTGGATGCCTTTTTTTGTCAAGGATTGTGCATCTCTATCAGTTGTTCTCATTTCTCAGCTGGTAACACAGGGCTCTGGTCTGAACTTTGGGATGTGGATTCTTTGTGTTGAATATTGTGGATGTTATTACCACATTGTCATCTCTCTGTTGTTATTATTGTGATATAATGTAGTATGAAATAATATTGACATAAAGTGTAATATCTTATGATAGTGTTGCCACTTAGAGGTGATATCCTCTGTTGTGGTCTTTCTTCCAAAAGTGGCTTCATTTTGGAAGAGAGAGCAAGATCAAGGAGCTGTGATCAAATATTATAACGTGAAACCTACGAGAAGTGGCTGAGTGTTGGCGTAAGTACAACAAATCACTCATTTTTTCTTTTCCATTTAGTTTGTGCCCTAGGAACTCTCTGCTGCAGGATGAATTAGGAAAAGAAGGACTGTTTCTCTGAACCATGGACGCAAGAGCATCTTTCATCACTACCATGCAAGAGAGCCAGCATCTATCCCCAGAGAAGGGGCAGGGACTGGCCAATGGTGATGGGGAGCAATTTGATTCAGGTGAGCTCTCCTTTTCTCTTGTAGGTTTCCTGCATGTCACAGTCTTCCAGATGACTGCTTTAGGGAAGGTGGCAGCTGTTTACTGGGTGGCGTTAGGGTTGGATACCTTGATGGCCATTTTTTGAGTCTTGTGGATTGGGGAAGGGTGTGTGTCCCATATTGTGGAGAGCCCAGGTGGATCCGTGATTGATAAGTTGGGGAAATTTTGACTTTTGGAGGTTTTCTAAGGTATGTTCTAACTACTTTAAATGAAAAGCAGTGGAAAACCTTTCCCGGGGCATCATATTGTGTTCTTCCTGTCCACCCACACACTCTGTATTTTATTTTACTCTCTTTTGATTAAAGAAAGGAAATGAATGTTCAGAAATTACGGTATTTCTCCTTTGTTTTGACCTTTATCTTTGTTCCTTCAGATTATTATTTTTTGTATTACTTCAGATGAGAGGGCATCACAAATGTCATCCCAGCCAGCAGAGAGCTGGTTGCATGTTGTCCTTGTGCACATGAGTATGACTGCTCTGAGATGGGCACTGAATGATAAGGATTTGCTGGGTAAAATTGGCTCAGTAACTTCACCCTTATTCCGTGTTTATTCAGGAAAGCTCAGCTGAGGAACTTGTGAAGCACAAAGCTGAGCCACCTGTCAGTTACTCTGTACAAAATGTTTCATTTTTGCCTTGTGGTAATGATGTTGTTGCTAATGTGCTTTAATGCTTTTCCAGAAATCTTGTGCATTTCTGTAACAGCAGTTCTTCATCAAAGGATCCTGAGGTGTAATGGCAAATGAAAATCTACTCTTGCATGCAAGCATTCTAAAGGGCTGCCTGAAGTCTGCTTCCATAGAAGTAGGCCATCTCACCAGGGGTGAATCACTGATCCAACTTCAAAAATGCAGTGGTAACAGTGTTGGGGTGAATGCTTGAAAACAGCTTGCTTTGGCTTCAGTGTCCTTTGCTTTGACTTCTATGTTCTTTGCATCTGTTCTCTCAGATGGTGCTGTGTTGTGCTGGAAGGTGTCCCTGCCTGTGTCAGGTGACTGAACTAGATGATCTTTAAGGTGCCTTTCAACCCAAACAATTCTATGATTCCACGTTGTGTTCAAGTCATTTGCAAAGCTTGATCATTGGTCCACTTCTCACTGTTTCCCACTGAGCACCCCAGAAATTGTGTGTGTTAAGAAACTTCGATTCATCCCACCTAAAGGAAGTGGGAAACTTTTATGTTCCCTTAGTTAAAAACATAATAGTTATCTTGGGCTCTGCTGTAGATGTGAAAAAGCTTCTCTTTCATAGGGTTTCGCATAGAGAGCTAAGGATCATCTAGAGTTAACCAGCTGAATATGGAATTGTAATGCCTTAAGACAGTTGGAAAAAAAAGTCATCATAGAATATCTCGAGTTGGAAGAGACTCATAAGGATCATACAGTCCAACTCCTGGCTCCAGCTCAAGTTCTGTATCTGAAAATGTTGTCCAAATGCTTCTAGAACTCTGGCAGCTTGTGGCCGTGCCCACTGCCCTGGGGAGCTTGTTCCAGGCCTCAAATCACCTTGTCAATGAAGAACCTTTCCCAGACACTCAACCTGACCCTCCCATCACACAGTTCCATGCTGCTGTCACCATTAAAGAGACTTGTAGCTCTATAAAACAAGTCATCTCATTTTAACATCAGCACTGGGTTGTCTTTGAGTTGAAAAATCACCTGGCTGGAATAGAAAGGGACATCAGGATCCTGATTGACTGTGTTAGGTGGATCCTTATCTTGAGATGGCATTTCCAGAGTGGGCAGCCTTATCTAGACACTGCTGGATCCATTTATATCTATGAGAGAGCTGTAGGAGCTCTCTCTGGGATGAGGTGCAGGTGATCAGTTGTAGGCATTGGGTTTGAAACAACAGAAACCGGCGTGTGGACCCTAACTGTCTTTGAGAATATGTGACTTGGTGACTCTCCCAAGGAGGTATAGGAGGCTTGTTGTTGATCAGGATTTCCCCTTTGCCCCAAGCCCTCCCCTGTGTGTTAATCCTAAATCATTTTGCCTTTCAGTTCTTTGTGAGTGAACAAAGTCATGAATATATTTATATGCCTGTAAATAAGATAGCTTAGCAGTTTCCACAAATACTGTAATTTCCAAAGATGTTCTCCTTCGGGTAAGCCTGGGAAAAATCTAAGCTTATGTAGCCACAGGTTTTGCGTCTTTTATCTCATCCTGCGAGGCTGATAACATCTGGAATAGTTGCATTTTTATAGTGTCAATGCATGAAGGACTGCAGAGCACTTTAAAGCCATTCAGGGGCTCAGAGATAATGACTTGTTGATTTTATTTGCCATCCTAGACTTGTTTATACATCACCATATTGTAGGCTAGCCAGCCTTGACTCTTTCATTAAAAAAGAGCACTGAGCCTAAGCACCAATAATTGGAAAGGGAGCTGATATGTAAAGTAGGCCTAATGCCAAATTTGTCATCTCACAGGGAGCTCTGCAAAACGCTGGCACCTGGGGCTCTGTGTCTCTCCAGCAGAGCCAGGACTTTGTTGTAGGAGTGTGTGGCTTGAGGACTGACAAACAGATTGCCTTTAGGATCATTGCTTCCTAAGTGGGCACAGTTGTCTTTGTATGTTCAGAGAGACTTTGCCTTTTGATTGGGGACCAGCAGATACTCAGGGAAGGCTGGCAAAGGGTATCCTGTGTTCCTCAGCAGTAGGGGTTTTGCAATGGGCAAGAAGATTTGTGTGCAGTCCAACTACTGTACTTGTGGATCTAAGTAGGAGTGTACCCCCTGACTCTGGGTCGCCCTGAGTCTGCCCACGATGTCCCCTTGCCAGGTTTTCTAGAAGGGAACAGAATCCATTTAAAAACAGATTTGGAAGCTTACATTCGCTTCACAATCTTTGGTGAAGATTGTGATAAAATGAAGCAAAATAAAACACTGATGCCATGATAAATGAGTACTCCAACATTATTTTTACAGACCTTGTAAAAGTAATTTCCTGATAAAGTCTGCAGATAAAACACCGTAGAGGAGTCAGACTATTGATGTGTCAGAGAGAAATGAATTGACTGGGAAGGAAAGCTGTAGCTCACACTGCTGTGGAAAGAATACTCGTAACGCTTTCCCCTGGCCTCTTGGACCTCCCTATTTGGCTTTAGAAAGGAGAGATCAGGGTCGTTATTAAAACAAGCGCTTTTGGGAGTTCTGTTGGACTGCATGTGAATGAATCTGTTGGCAAGGCTGTGGGAACAGTGTGACTGGTGGCTGTGGGTTGGCATATAGCAGAGTAGGTCATGGGCAATAATACATTAGGAAGGAGGGGAGGGCTTGCTGCATCTGTAACTAGCATCTTTAATGCTAACGTAATTAACTTAGTGTTGCCAAATCCTGTCTCTCTGGAGATACTGCTCCTTGCATGGATGGTATGTGCTGAACTGCTTAAAAGCCCTTCTACCACTCTGTGGAAATTAGGTTGCCTGCAGAGATGGTGGATTCCCCATCCTTGGACACATTCACGGTCAGGCTGGATGGGGCTCTGAGCACCCAGATCTAGCTGTAGATGTCCCTGTTCATTGCAGGGAAGTTGGACAGATGGCCTTTAATGTCCCTTCCAACTCAAATGGTTCTGTGATATTTCTCCTTCCCATAAGAATGCTGAGGAAGGATGAAGAGAAAGAGAAACGTGATGGACTAACCATGACAGCTGGAGCAAGAAAAAGGAATGACAGCTGAGAAGATACAGAGAGCACTGTGGGCTGAGAGAAGTGTCTCATGCTTTGAAACAGAAATAGCTGAGCAGAGGGGAAAGACGTGGGGGTATGTTTGGGTGGAGATGATTTTGGGGTTGTTGAGTAACCCATCCCAGCACCAGAAGCACAAACAGGTGATAGAACGGGAAACAATCAGGCAGAGGGGTGTGCCTTTAGCTTTTTGCCTCTTGCTTTTCACATCAGAAGTTACTGGCTTATAGTAGGACTGTGATTGATGGTGCCTGGGATAGAAAGTTGCTTAAACATAGGAGTAATTGTAAGTTTCTGATGGATAGCCGTATCTGCCCATATACCCATGAACTTGCATACATTTTTAAAAAAATATTAACCCTTGAAATCTCTGAACCTGACTCCTCTAAAAAATAACTCCAGCCGGTTGCTGATTTTCAGATTGAAGTTCTCCCTGATCATCAAAGTTGCTTGCTTGCATGATATAGCTAAGTCTTAGCAATTTGTGCACAGAGTTCTTACTTTTGGCTAAGCTGTCCTTGTCTTTCAGCCAAGAATGAGCAAAGTCCTCCTTTTGTGCCTGGAGTTCTTTTTGGTAGCCAGGAGGCAGCCGTCTTCAAGCCACCTTGCCACTTTACATGGGAGTAAGAGTTGATTTACATCTCCATATTTAATTGAGTTGGTGGTATGGAGCCAGACGTTAGGCTTGATGCAGCGGTTTGCAGTGTTTAATGGTGATGACAGCTCAGTGCTGCTCTTTGAACTCCCAGACAAATCTTTACCCTCTTCCAACTCTGTCTCAAAAACCCTCCTCTGAGACATTTTTTTTTTTTTCCCCTTCGCATACATATGTCTGCAAATAAAGCCTATTTCTTCCCCTTTTAATGATGAGAGATTCCCATTACACAGTATAATTTTCTAGTCTTGAAAACTGGAGACCTGTAGCAACAATTTCAATAAATTAACCCTGCCATTTTCTTCATAAAACTATCTGGGGAAGCTCCTTAATTCAGTTTGTCATGAGTCACTTTAATTACATCATGACCACGCTGATAAATGTGTGTGCAGGTAAGGGTCTCTTGTAGTTTTCCTTGATAAACGCTTATTGCAAACAGCTCATTGCTAGACTGTAAATATTTTTGCTCTGGGGATGTAACTGAGTTTGTGAGAATGCCTGGGAACAAAATGAAAACAATCAGATGTGGCTGATTTTCTGTAAGTGAAAGACAGTTTGTTCTTAATTATTGCTGTGTGTGTTTCAGCAATGGTTTCAGGCCTCAACTCTGCTCTGCTCAGTGGGGATATGTTTAAAAAAAAAAAAAAAAAAGAGTAATGTCAACTCCTTCCCTATGGGGAAAGAAGGGTTGTGAGGGGGCATTGGTGTGAGCGGGGAAGACATGATGCAGAGCCTCAAATCTGAAATGGGGCAAGGATAAATGCAGGCAACAAGAATGCAGCAGTGGCCTGGGGATTTGGAAAAGCAGCTTTGGTGCTGGTGGAAGGATTCCATTGGGGTTCTTGGGTGTTGGAGGGCAGAGAAAGGCTGAGCAAGGAGAAATAGAATAGCAGAGCTGAAACTGTCTCCCCTCAGCCCTAAGGGCTGGGTTGCTTGTTTTTCATGCTGCTCAGCCAACAAGAACAACATCCATTGTTATCACCAGTACACTGTTGCAATTAGCAGTCTGGGGGAACCCAAGGCTGGGACATGGGCATGGCCACTGTATCCCTGTGATAGCAGGCTGACAATCAACTCTTGTAGCACAGTCCCTGTTGCATTATAATGAGTTTGTTCCCTTGTTGTGATGATTGCAGGGTCAATTTTGGTCTCACAGTGTTGGCTGATAAAGTCCCAAAATCTGCTGAAAGTGTTTTAAGAACCAGTCAAGCTGGCTAAGAACAGATCTTCAAGGAGGCTTTTTCTCTCACATTGATGTTTGTATCAGTTGCTATTTTTCCCCTGAACTGTTTGATACAGCTTTTGCCTTCTTTGGCTGCATTTTGGGCTGTTTTCCTTTCTTTCTACTACTTTTTTTTTTCTTGTTTTCCTTTTGAACAGATGAGGGCTCCAGCATTGAGGATGCAGACTTCAACTGGGATGAGTTCCTGGAGGAAACAGGAGCCAGTGCTGCTCCCCACACCTCCTTCAAACATGTATGTGCATTGTCTGCCTTGCTAGTATTGAATGTGTTCCCTCTTACGGTGTTCCTGACCAGCTGAAATGGAATCTGTCCGTTCTGTGGGGAGTTTGGCCTTCTGTGGCAGTGTATGTGAAAATAAGATGGAGTACTTCCTGTTGTCCATGCAGCTCCAGGCCCTCTTGCTGCTGTTAGGTGACATCAGCTCTGTGCACTCAGAGCACAGTGTCTATGCCACTGGGTTCAAATATCTTTTATGAGGTTTCATTCTGCTCTCCTTACATACTCATCTTTTTTTTTTTTTTTTTTTTTTTTTTCTCCTTCTTAATTTGTTGATATCCTTTCCAACTTGTAGAGATTCATCTCACCAGAGCATCTTATTTCTCTGAAGGTGCTCTCTCAGTGCATGATTTGCTGACCAGCAGGGTTGCTCGCCACCAGAGCCCAGCATGGTCCCTAGGAATCCATCAACCCCCTTCCTAAACATCCTGCCTCAGGAATGTGGGAACCAAACAGTGGAGTTGGTGATAACTTTCCTGGATGCTATGTTGTATGCAGATGTTAAAGAGTCCTATATGTGTCACGGTAGTTAGGACATGGTGGCTCCAGCCCACGTTAGCAGTAGTATACAGAGCCTCTGAAATTCTGAATGATGGAGAAGATCGGAGTATGCTTTGAGGAGGGATCCTGTCAAGGAGCAGAGCCTGTCAAGGATATTGTATGGACCCATTTTTCCATCTGCAAACAGTTGTTTAATGTCTTTTATTTGGCCTACGTGTGTGCTGTCCATAGTCTGCCTTTACACGAGGACTTGAGATGGAGCTTAAACTAGTGCACAGATTCTTCATCATCATCAAAGACGTACACATATGGTGTAATCGATATATTTTTCCAGGTCTTTGTTTTCAGTCAGATGCAGAATTGTTCTTTCAGATGTTACGGTGCATTTACCTGTATCAAGCTATGCCCAATCATGGTGGTTCTCTGTCCTCAACTGTGAGTCATGTGCAGATGATTCTGTTCATCCTCTGACCTGGCCCATCAGCTGCAGGTAGCAGCTACATCTGGTAATAGGACTCACCAGCCCCTTTTCTCTCATCTTCATTCACCTGACCTAAATGCTCTGGATGATGTGGATATCTCAATCAGGAAGAGAAGTGTTTCACATGTGATGCTCTCATTTGCCTTCCATTGAGTCTGGTTGCTGGCAGAAATCCTTGGGAACATATAGTTGTACCGCAGTGAAGGGAAAGTTTCCTGAAGAATTTGTTGCTCCTTTGAGATAAGTCTCCATTTGGATAGCTGCCTTCATGCCATTAAACCACCTTTGCCTCCAGGTGGTTTCTTGATTTGTTTTGAGGAGATAAAGAGCAGTAGTGATGAAAAACCTGTCCCTACAACTGGAAAAAATATATATAAAATAAATAATACCAGCCTCTGTTACCTATTCTATGCATGTAGATAGAGTATTGCAAGATGAAGGATCCTAATTTTCTGTACTGGAGAACTACAGTACAGTGGTAAAATTTTGTTGTAGTTTATCCTTGGCCCAGTAGCTGTCTGGAAAGAACATCTTGTCCCAGGGTGTTAACCCTGGTTCTTGTCTCAAATAGAGGATCCTGCTGGGAGCTGTGTACTTCACAAAGTCTTTCTATTCCCCCTCTTCATGATTTTCATTTAAAGTCTCTTGCCTCAAGTGTTCCACTTTGGTCTTTATTCGTGGTGAGAGCAAGAACAGAAGCTACAAATGATCGTGTATCCTGGATTATTCATGAGGACCCTTAGCATCACAAAAGTTAAGATCCTATTTTAGGACTAAACTAGTAAACGTTGTAGATTTTCCTCCATCTTAAATGATCTCCAGAGGTCTCTTCCAATCTCTGTTAGTCACAGTCCCAGCACTGATGCTGATGGAAGTGCCTGCATATCTGAAAGTATGTGGAGTGTTGTAATCTGCAAATAACATATGCCTTTGGCTGGACACTGCTCACGTTGTAAGCTGGAGTGGGGTAAGGGAGAACTGGGCATACCCAAGGAGCTCTGTTTTTTTCCAGCAACTTGGCATTGTGAAGTTGGCCACATAGACCATGATATATCACAGCGAGCAGAGGAGGCGTTTTATTGCTCCTCTGTAAGTGAGAACTAAATCAGAGACAACCTTAAACCAGATTCCAAAATCTCTCTGGCTTCAGTAGGACACAAAGTACATGGAAACCTTTAAGCATGTCTCCTTAAAATTACATGGGGAGTCATGGCTGCATTTTGGATGGTCTTCTGAAGACAAAGCTGTACTCTGAATGGGCTGGCATTCATCTCTTGTGTATCAACAGTACCTAGACACATCCTGCTGGCCCTTGGGAGATGTGTTATGACGTGTCTGCAACAGTCTCTGCAGTGTCCTAGAAGAGCATGGCATCTCCAGTGTCCTTGAACAAGTTGCTTGTGACTTTCTGAGATAAAAACAAGTGACTCCTCCATCAGATTGCAGAACAGTGACCCAAGGCCTTTATTTCTCTCTGCCATGTATCCTACACCGTCTTTATGAGAATACACACCAGGAGAGCAAATTGGGTATGCCTTAAAATTCTGCTTGTGGATATGGTGGAAATACTCTCCTTGGTCTGCTTGGTACAATATTCAGCCTTTGGTGCTTTACAAGCCTCAAGAGGTGTACAAGTATTGTTGTATGACCAATTGTAATAGCTGGGCCTAACTCCCAGAGTGCCTTCCTGTTCTACTTTGCATGTGTCCTGGGATTTGCCTGATGGAGCTGTGTGAAGGGCAGTTACACCACCTTTCTCCTGAGCATTGTAGAGATTTATGAAGCTCAGATGGCTACAGTCCCTCTCAGATTTAGTTCACCTGAGTTTATCACAGCTGATGGATCCCTTTGGAGTACATGGGACCTTGTATGATGGGGATGTACTAGTGAAGTAGGAATGGTCCTGCACAGACAGGTTGTGAAGAAGGTGGTTGGTATTAATAGCAGAATATTATGGGTTAGAAGGGATGTTAAGTGTCATCCAGTTTCAACCCCTGCCATGGGTTGGTTGCCATCCACAATGCCCCATCCAATCTGGTCTTGAATGCCTCCAGGAATGGGGCATCTATAGCTTCTGTGAGGAACCTGTTCTAGTGCCTTAGCACACTCTAAGTAAAGAATTTCTTCCTGCTATCTGAAGTAAATCTCCCTTCTTTTAGCTTAAGACTGTACCTCCTTGTATTATTGCTATTAAGGAGCATGGTCAGCTAACGTCTTATTCCTGATCATCTCTTTAATGGCTTGCTTAGTTAAATGAGGAGCCTCCCTGTAAAGAAGGAAAAGTAACACTATGCCTTTCTCATTTTGTAAGGTTGAAATCAGCCTCCAAAGCAGTTTTCAGCCAGGGATGAAATTGGAAGTGGCCAACAAGAGTAATCCAGACACATACTGGGTGGCTACAATCATCACAACCTGTGGACAACTCTTACTGCTTCGTTACTGTGGCTATGGGGATGACCGGAGGGCAGATTTTTGGTGTGATGTAATGACAGCAGACCTTCACCCTGTTGGCTGGTGTACTCAGAACAACAAGGTCCTGATGCCTCCAGATGGTAAGTTGCATGTGTTTTGCTGGAGTCATGCCCTAGTCTTGGTCTGACTGTTAATCTCTAGGCTTTCAGTTGGTATGGAATGGATACTCCAGATGCTCAGCTGATGTTGAGTGGTGCAGTTTCACTGAAGTTGTTGTATAACAGCTTAGAGTCAGGTTTCTGTAGATCTATGGGTTATTCAATTTGCCAGTCATTCTCCAGGAAAGGCATTTTGACCTAGGTCTTAAGAACAAAAGCTTATGGATGAGGCTGTCTTAAGGGAATGGTGAATTGCCAGCCCGTGACTTCCAGTGAGGGGAAACAAGTTGTCTCACACTTTTCGAAAGAAAGGACCAAATTTAGAGTGAGAAAAGAGTAAACAAAATCTGATCTTGATTACACTCAAATTTAACTTGGCTGTGTATTCAGATGCTTTGCTCTCCATTGTCAGACTTCTACAGCTTTTAATTCCAAAAGTAGACCCACGTGAATAAAGATGGGAAAATCTGATCGTTGTAGGTTAGGGTATGTCCCAGTCCTCAGCTCTTGGGTGTGCCAAAGCGAAATGTGAGAACTGTAGATTTATGGCACTTGGAATAGCTTTTTAATAACATGTTTGTTCCTCAATTGATTCTGAGTGTGTAAGGAAAATGCTTGATTTTTGTTGTTTTTTTTTTTTGTTGGTGTTCTTTTTTTCTGTCATTATACAGGAACAGAACAGCTGTGCATCCTTACCTCTGCGTAGCTCCAGGCAGAGGCACTTGTCACATGTGTATTCCCTCTATATATTCAGTTTCTTTTGGGTTGTGGGAAGAAGAGATGAATGGTTGGCCTCCAGCACATGGATGTGTTTGAGAAAAGTCTCATTTAAGAACTCATTCTTTTGTTCACGTGGCTGCTGAAGAAGTAGATGTGCTTTTTGTGTGCCATGCATGACTTCTGGTGTAGATGTTGCCTTGCTTCCCACTAAACTGGATCGTAGGTACAGTCTTTGAAACAGCAGAAATGGCCTCATTCTTGCCTTGTCTATGCTGAACACTAGAGTTAAACAGTGATGTTTTTGTTCTGGTCTGACTGTCTTTAGAACAACGGAGGATTGATTGCTTAAAAAAGTATTAAAGACAAATATGGCTGAGAAATCTGTTGGCTTAGGAATAATACATCAAGCTGATGTGAGAAGGGTTATTTTTTTTTTTCTTATTTTATTGGTCTCTTAAACTATCTTTTATTATGTGGATTGTAATCAATGTTACTGGAAAAGGTGTACAGTGCCATAAACTAAATCTCAAAATGCCAGGTTCAAGGAGTGAAAGATTTCGTCGACTGGTGTAATAGAAAATGATTGTTTTATAGCTGGAGGCAACTGCTTTTCATGAAAATGTTGCTGGAATCTGCTCTTTGGTTTGTGGTTACTTCACGTAAGCTGTCTTGCTTGAGTGAATGCAAATGTGCAATGCATTTTTTCTTCTCTGTCCAGGTGATATGGTTGTATGCCAAACTCTTACATCTGGGCAACTGTAGGTACTGTTTTATTGGACATGTGGTTGTTTTTTGTTTGGTTGGTTTTTTATTTCCTTTCTCTGTTGTAAGATTTAAAAGGTTGAGTTGTATTTTGGAATGAGACATCTAAAATGCCCAGGAGCATTTTAGCCTTTGGAACTTCTCTTCGTTGAAAAGAGAGAGGTCCTAAATGCATTTATAAACCACAGAGCTATTCTGAGGGTTGATCTGAGGTGTTCAGCCCACGATCAGGGTGGGATTTTAAGAGGTGGTTGCTCCCATGAGGGCACTACAAGGAAGAGGTTGGGTTTTCAGGAGTGCTGTAGGAAGAACTTGGCTCTGATGAGCTATTGAAAGCAGTGAGTAGTGCCTTCATTGTATGCAAATACCTGAAGTTTATCCTGTGTTTAATTGTTTTCTCAGTCTTGATGAGCCGAACTTCACAGCGGTCCTAAGAGTTTCATCTGGTGAAACCTGCAGGATCAAACCTTGTATTGGTACATAGTAAACTGTTCTCTGTGAACTCCAAGAAGATTTTTTGCCATTTTAGCTTTGCACACTATTTTGTTGTCAAGTGCTTTGTGGAAAGGAAAGCCCGCTCCAAGTTGCATGGATTCATTTTCTAAGGGCTCGATTCTGCATGTATGGATCACAGTGAGGATATCTGCTGGCAAGATCTGCTGGCAAACAGCATGGCCAGTTATCTGTCATTAAGATTTTTTCCCTGTCAGGAACTGAGGGCTCTGTTTAAACGCAGATCTGCTAAGGACTGGCTTAGTGGGCAGAATACCAGCAGTGGGACAATGCTTTGTTTCTGCTTAGTAATCAAATAGGACTGATTGGTTCTACTCTTGCAAATGTGATCCCAGGCAATGCTGTACAGAGTGATAGGATGAAGAATATCATTAAATGAAAGAGAGATGAAAAATGGGGCTGGTTCTGTTTACCGAATCAATAGAGCTTGATTTAATGTTCAGCACATAGAGAGATTTTAAGGGGCAGCTGCCAAATAGTTATTGCTTATGATCCCAATAGAAGGAAGTCATTTAGTTTACAGACTGTTGCATTATTATTTACTGGGTTAGTTTTGCATCGTGGTGCCTGCAAGTATAATGTCAAGTCATGTCATGTCTTCCCCTGACGTTGTGGTGCACTGCTCTGGACTAAGGGCCAAATGCTCCAGTTTGCAGTAAGTTGTATTGACATATGAAAGGATGGTGTGAGTGTATGTCTGCCCATAAGCTTTACCCTCTACCACCCTCTTCCCTTCAGGAAATCAGAGGAGTAAAATTGTAGTTACTTCAAGCTTTGCCATTAATTATATTTTCCTCATTACAAATCGGTGTGTAATTTGAATTGCAAACTCAAATATCTTGGCAGAATAGATCTGTTTACCATTCAAAGCAAAATGAAAATTATTTAAATTAGTTAATATAGAACTCATTTGAATGAATTGAATGTTTATTCATGAACTAGCTGAGGCAAGTGTGAAGCTGTCCGTATGGTCTCTAGCTTTGGCACTGATCAGCTCTAAAGTCATGTCCTGGGACAGAGATTTCTTTTTTATTGCATATTAACTGTGGTGTAGACCAATGGATAGCTTCTGCCTGATTGAGCTGAGTATGAAATTTACATCCTTTCTGCCAGGGCCCCCCAGCAACTGTAAAATTTGTATGGGGAAGTAGTTCATAAGGGGAGGTGCTTCAGAGTTCATCGACAGTGGCTGGGATGGAGCAACAGAATGGCATTTGGCTTTTGTGCTGTAGTTGTGGGATGTAACATAGGCTTTCCATTCTTTGGTTAAATCTGCCCTATTATATTGCCCTGCATGAAGGCAGGGACAGCCTTCATCACCTCATATACCTCACCAAATGCTATCCTCCTCAGCACGAAGCTGTGGTGGTTGTTCTTCAGCGTCATTCATCCTGTAAGATCTCTTACTCATAAAGCATTAAAAATTTAAGTCTAACTTAACTTTGCCATAGTTGTGTTTCCCTTAACTGTGAAAGGAAAATAGGTTTCTCGCCTCCTTTAGCCTGTTTTTTCCATGTGCTGTTTTCCTTTGTTGATGACAGTTGGGTTCACGAGCACATTTACCATCATGTAGAGGAGCAGCGTGGAGAACCTGACAAAGATAGTAGCTAAATTATGCATTGTGAAACACGCACAGAGCAGGCACGTCTTTTGATTGACACTTGGGTGGTTTTGTACAGATTGCAGGTTTACAGCTGAGCCAACAGAGCTGAATCTCTCCTGGCACTATCTTAAGGCATTCTGTGATGCACTAGAGATGCTGGACAACAAGATGATTGTGTCACCTGTGATTGTGGCAGTGCTTTTGCTTCAGTGTTATTGACAGATGGAAATTCAAATAAAACATTTCTGAGCTTGGATTTGTGTGGTGATCTTGAGTCTGCTCACAGTGTAAACCAGGAGGAGGAAGAGGCTGGAGATCTAAAGGAATAGAGGAACGCAGTGGGGAGAGAACCAGGTCTGTGCTCTGGTTTTACCATGAGCCACTACAGATGGGAAACCTCAAAACACTGTCCAGCCATGGATTTGATGATCACAGTGATCGTTATACTGTGAGTACGTGTAGGAAAGCAGCCTTTGTAGAATCATTAAGGTTGGAAAAGACCGCTAAGATCATCCAGTTCAATCATCGACCCACCCCCACCATGCCCCCTAACCACGTCCCTCAGTGCCACATCTCCACATTTCTTAAACACCTCCATGGCTGGTGACTCCACCACCTCCCTGCACAGCCTCACCACTGTGCCAATGCCTCACCACTCCTCCTGAGAATAAATTCTTCCTAATGTCCAATGTGAACCTCCTCTCCTGCAACTTAAGGCCTTTCCTTTCGCCCTATCACTGTTAATCTGGGAGAAGAGGCTGGCCCCCACCTCATCACAACTTCCTTTCAGGTAGTGTAACCAGAATTAAAGCTCAGAAGCCTGATCCTAGGATGTAATGAATCCCTCTTGCAAGGGGCTGAGCTTGGCAGGTAAAATATGCCACTAAGACTGTTGAGTATAAAGCATTTTGCCCATCCAGGCTTTCTGTGAAAGCAACCATCACCAAATGGTTCACTCAGATTCTGAAGTAGTGGGTAGAGTGTGGGTGAAAAAAAAAAGATAAAAACTTGTGCCGTGGTAAACTAGGCTGCCATTCAAATCATAGAATGCCTTGCGTTGGAAGGGACCTTAAAGATCATCCTGTTCTGACTCCCCCACTGCTGGCAGGGTTAATGACAGTTGTATTCCCATCTAGATTGGCATTTCTCTGACATGTAGTCTGTGATTTTTGTTAGAGTTCAGGTGGTGGATATAAATGTTAGAACAGAGGCGAGGTCTGCACTATAGTGGAAAAGAATGGAATTGAAGCAATATATGGTGCAGGGTGTGGGGAGAAGAACAGCAAGGGGGAATGGTGAGGAAAGAAAAGAAGAGCAAGCTTGGAGCAGTCATTTGGGTTTGGGATTTGGGATGAATGTCATTCAAGAAGCCCTGGGAGTGCAG